CTCCCTCACACCCATACCCTCCTCACACTCACACTCACACACTCCCTCTCACACATTCCCTCACACACACTTCCTCACACTCCCTCACACCCATACCCTCCTCACGCACACTCCCTCACACATACCCCCTCACACTCACACACTTCCTCACACTCCCTCACACACATACCCTCCTCACACTCGCACACACCCTCTCACACATATACCCCCTCACATTCACACACGTGCTCCCTCTTACACTGACACACTCTCTCTCACTCACACACACTATTGCTTTTACATACATAATCTCTCTGACACACAGAAACCCTCCTAAATAGTCCCTGTTACCCACATAGATCTTCTCACAGATTCCCTGACACACACTCCCTGTCACACACACGCCCTCTCTCTCCCACACTCACACCATCCTGCTCACACACAGCCCCTCATACACTCTCACGCTCACACTCAGGGTTCAGAGTGCACCCCTAGGGGGCTCCCTCCGCACTCCTGCCTGAGCCAGGCCCGGGGCTCGGAATTGTGACTCGGAAGTGTCCCACTAACCTGAACGCTCCGAGAGTGGGAACCAACTTAGTCACATTTCCCATCACTGTACATCCCCTGCAGGCGGTACAGTGTGTGTTCTCAGCCCGTCTGTGGAATAAACGAAACACAGGTCAGAGGAGCAGTCAAGGTCAAGCTCTTGCTGTTCCCGGGCCTCTCTTGGCCTGGACTGTGGGTATCTCAGCCTGAACTCACTCACCTGCTTCAGGCAGGTACTGGGCAGGCCAAGGACAGTCACCTGGCTCAAAGCCAGCGCCTCCCTCCAGGTTCCCACCCACTCAGGAGGGTCGAGGGAGGACAGAGCCCCCCAGTCCCTAGTGCATCTGCACCTCCACCCAGTCAACACCCTATTGCCAAGGCCTCCAGTTTCTTGCCGCCTGAGGCCAGCAGTGGGAGGGAGCGTCACTGGAGTCCTGCGCACATGAAGTGGCCACACTGGCATGCAGAGGAATGACGGTCGGGACCACGAGGGCTCCTCCTGTGTAACACAGTCCCTTCCCATGGGGGGACACCCACCACTCCATAGGCGGCCACTCCCTTAAAGCAAACTCTGGCCCAAGTAACAGGTCTCCTCAAGCATGATCCCCTCTACCGCTGCCCCTGGGCAGAGCCTCACAGGGGGCGCTCAGGGGTGGGAGGGCACCATTGTTCCGCCCCAGCTGCCCCAGAGCCCGCAGAGGCCACCACCTCCTCATCAGACAGCAAAGTGAAGATAAGTCTATTCCTGCATTAACAGCCTCTGCAATTTGTCTTTCTAAGGTTCCCCCGTGTTTGCGCTCACCCCAAACCCACAGGGCAACCCAAGGCCCATTAACACATGCAGAGTTTTCTACTTTTTCCCCCTTGGGGGAGAATTTTCAAGTTTTAGGGATTTGTTAGCCAACAGACTGACCCATCCTCATTTCTGCCAGGATGTGGGAACAGGGAGCCTGGGCTTTACCCACTTTGTTCTAACCCACAACATTACAGATATCATGAGTGACATCAAGATGTGGCTTCCCTAAATCAGGGTCTTCAAACAGGGGCTTGTGTGGTTGGGCTTCACAAGGACTTCCAAGGAGAACCGACCAAGGACAGTCAATAGTCACTTCACGGACCTCAGCTTCCCAGGAGTATACCTACATCTGAGCCTCCAAAAAGAGGGAGGACAGGCCCCCACCCAGCCCAAGAGAGAAGATGGGCTCTGTGTCCTGAGTCTGCAGGTTCCCTGCCCAGCGGGTCAACACAGAGAGGCATGACACATTTACAGGCCTGCGTGGTCAGCACAATGGAACAGATCAAGAGATGCTCACCCAGTTGTTGGCACCCAGCTTGGAAGGGCTCATGATGTCACCGGGGCAGAACTCCTTCCATTGTCGTGAAAGGGCTCCCACATCCCTATAAGCAAAGGACAGAATTATTCAAATGAGCAATACACCCACATGCAGGAACCAACAGGAGAAAGAGTGGGAGCCGTGTTTCTAATGAAACTGCACGTGGACCTTGGACAAAGGTGTTTGTCACATTCTGATGATATATTGTTTCACATATTGTGTGTTACTTACTGTAACATCAGAACAATCCAGAAGACTTTTATATTTGTAAACTGTGGTCAAGAAAATGGCTAAAATTCGATTTTGAGCCAGAGGATACAATGGGCAGTCATTAACTGTCCTTGGTGGTAACCGCGCAGTCATGCAGATGACCCTTGGGGGCACAGAATGGAAAGACAGGTGAAGAAGAAAAAGAAACGGTGTGAAGCTTGCCACCTTAAAGAAAAGCTTGCTGACTTTTTTTTTTAGATGAATTATGGTGGATTTGAAGGCAAAACTGGATTTCAGTTTAATCAGATAGTCTTTCAAGTGATAGGACACAGCAGCAAAAAGAAGCAACCCAAATGTCCATCCACAGATAAATGGATAAACAAGATGTGGTCTGTTGTACTCTGGAATATCATTCAGCCTTAAAAAGCAATGAAGTCCTGATACAGGCTACAACGTGGATGAACCTAAACGACGTTACGCTCAGGGAAACAAGCCAGTCACACAAAGACAAATACTGCGTGATTCCACTCTAGGAGGCCCCTGGAGTGGTTGAAATCACACAGCCAGAAAGTAGAAGGCTGGGCGCCAGGGGCTGGGGGCGGGGGATGGGGAGCAGGGGTTTGATGCTTGCAGTTTCAGTTGCACAAAACAGAGTTCTAAGCTGTGACACAAGCAGGGGGAGTGTAGTTAACACTACTGAGTATTAAAAACGGCTCAAGAGTAGATTTTATATTACGCGTTTTTTACCACAAACATTTTTTTAAAAAAACAAAAATGTGATGGAACGGTTTTATCTGAAAGTGCTGGAAAGTACATATTTTGAATCTGTTTAAATATATGAAGAAAAAATTGGGACGTCAACTTTATAAGCGAGTAGGGCTCCTGGGTGGCTCAGTCGTTAAGCGTCTGCCTTTGGCTCAGGTCATGATCCCGGGGTCCTGGGATCGAGTCCCAAATCGGGCTCCCTGCTCTGCGGGAAGCCTGCTTCTCCCTCTCCCACGCCCCCTGCTTGTGTTCCTGCTCTCGCTGTCTCTCTCTCTGTCAAATAAATAAATCTTTAAAAAAAAAAAAAAAGTATAAGCGAGTAAATGTTTTCCGAGCTCTTTTAAGAGGCACGCAGCTGGACAATGGGAGGCCACCAGGGTGAATGAGCTTCCATCTGTGTGACCCTTGAGAGCATCGGAATCTGTGCAGACAAGGTCAAGCCCAGTGCAGAGGCACGTGGTGGGGACCCACAGGCACTGTCCCCACCTGAAGGGTGGCCCCGGCCCGGGTGACAGTTCCTAGGGTCAGGCAGCTCTGAAAGGGTGTGCCCCGTTAGGAATGAGAACCCCGTGGGGCGTTGCTGTCGAGTCTGCTGACCCGTGGAACCAAAGCCAGCCCACCCCCACCCGTCAGGCTCTGAAACCGGGGGAGCAGTAGACTCCGCCCTGCAGAAAATGAGAAGCTGCCAGGAGAGGTATGGGCTCCCTCCTCCCAGCCGGGCGCCCTTGGGTGCTGAAGCTGTGCCCCCTCCCCCATTTGTCCTGCGCCTAGAGCAGAGGTTTGTCTTGGGAGTGACTTGGCTTTTGAGGAGCGAGGTGGACTTCTTCTCACATCTTTATGCTTATGGGGCACTTGCCTTTCTGTTTTGTGTTTTCAAGTCACGCCTGTCCTCCTGCCCCGTCACGGCCACTGCCCCCCGGACCGGAGCCCCCTCACCACCTGCTTCCCACACAGGTGGAGGGGCCCTCGCCGCCCCGGTGCCTGGCGCTGGGTTACTCTGACGGGTCCCCAGAGGCCCTCTACCAGCTTGTCTTAAATCAGAGGACCCTGAGCATGTCCTTCTCTGGTTTCAGCTGCAGGTGAATTTGCTGTCCAAATTTTTGCTGATTGCGAAATCTTGCTACGAGCAGAGGAACTTCGCGACAGCCATGCAGATTCTGGGAGGCCTGGAGCACCTGGCCGTGAGGCAGTCCCCTGTGAGTCACCCTGGAGAGCCACTGGCCACGGGCGGCGTGTGGGCACCGCGGCCGCAGGGGGCTCACCTGTGCTTCTATTTCAGGCCTGGAGAATTTTACCCGCGAAGATAGCGGAGGTCATGGAAGAGCTGAAGGCCGTCGAGGTACTGGTGCTGTGCGTGAGCTTCCGGAAGCGTGTGTCCCCCTGGGGCGTCCCCTGCAGACACGCTCTGCACCTCTCTGGGGGGCTCACCAGGCAGAGCCTGCGTCGCGGCCCCCAGACCACACAGCCACCCACACCCCCACCCAGAGCTGCCCGGTCTTGCCCATCGCCCCACAGGGCACAGACTGCGGGCCATGCACCAGGTACAGATGCCCAGAGGACCAAGCTGAGCTTAGTGACCCACTGGCCTCCTTGCAGCCTCCTGAGATCATAAATGAGGAAACACTGGAAGGCTGGGCATCTCCCTGGAGGAGGCCCTGGGAGCAGACTGCCGCCGAGGCCCCACAGCTCCTGCCCCAGACAGCTCTCTGTGGGGCGGGAGGGCTGGCGTGTGTCCTCAGTCGACACCAGAAACAGGTCCCTGAAGCCGGGAAGCCTGGGTCTTGGCCTCCTTGGGGCAGCTGGGCCACCCGGCTATTTTGTGGAGCCCAGAGAGAGTCAGTCAGGAAACAAGTTTGCCATTTCTGGTGGCAGGAAGTGTGTAGCTTTCCGGTGGGTGTGTCCGCGTTCCCTTGGCGCCTGCAGGCTTCAGACATCCAGACTTTCGACCCGATCCAATCATCCGAGGCACAGTGAGGATCGGATGTAAATCAGTGCTGTGTAGCCCCCTTGCCGGGGGGCAGGGGCGGGTACATAGCACCAACCCAGACTGGCTGAGCTGAGTGCCCTGGACTGACCTCTCATCCGTCTGCCCCTCCCCACACCCCTGGCTGGGCCCCCAGGTCTTCCTGAAGAGCGACAGCCTGTGTCTGATGGAAGGACGGCGCTTCCGGGCCCAGCCCACGCTGCCCTCAGCCCGCCTCCTGGCCATGCACATCCAGCAGCTGGAGACAGGGGGCTTCACCATGACCAATGGGGCCCACAGGTGGAGCAAGCTCAGGTGAGGGGCTATGCTCCCAACGACCCCATGGGCCCCTCACCCTAGCGCTGTCTGCACAGCACCCGTGGCCAGTCCTCAGCCTGCTCCGGTGGTGCCACAGTTCCCCTGCCCAGCACCCCTGGGGGCCCAGCACCCCTGGGAGGTGCAGACTGGGGGCTGCTTGTGAAAACCACCTTGGTGACCCCAGACAAAGAGGGCCACACTCATCTCTGCCTCGGAAGCCGCAAGCTGCCTCCACCCCTCCTCCCCTGGGGGCTCCAGGCCTCATCGGAGATGCCCCCCCATATATCACAGGCCTGGGCCAGCCCTTCTCCAGAGGCCTGCACCCCCATAGCCTTGGACCCACCTGTTTTCCTTCCCCCCTCTGCATCACCCACATGTGCAGACGGGTGAGGCTGGTCAGGCCACAGTCCAGCTGCACACCCCTTAGGGTCAAGGGCAGATCTCAGCAGGCACAGCCCAGGGGACCTGCAGCCCAGTGGTTCCAACCTCCTTCTGGTCACCAACTTAAAAAGTTACTTAAGAGGCACCACAGTGCACACTGGTCTGGGTCAGCAAAATGGAAACTAACAATTAAGAGGGAAGGCCACAGTCCCGAAGGAGCGTGGGCGGAGGCCTGATGATGACTCTTCTTCACTCTGTTTTAGGTCTGGATGTATATGCATGTTTGTCTTTATTTATTTGAGGGAGAGAGATGGGTGGTGGGGGGGCGGGGTGCAGAGGGAGAGAGAGAATCCCAAGCAGGCTCCACGCCCAGCACAGAGCCCCCAAGTGGGGCTCGATCTCAGGACCTGGAGATCATGGCCTGAGCCCAAATCAAGAGTCGGACGCATAACCGACTGAGCCACCAGGGCGCCCCGCATGCTTGTCTTTTAATGACCAAAGTGCCGTCCTTCATTCTGGAGGTGCTGTCTCTTCATCCACAATCAGGATAAGAATGTCTATGAAGTCCACGGCCTCCCCCAGGCAGAATTACTGACTTCTGCTTCGTGGTCCCCGTTTTCTTGGATGACATCCAGGGGTGTGTGGTCACAGTTAACTTCCCGCTCTCCAGGGAATGAGTCCCGGTGCACAGCATTGGCCAATGCCCAGGGTGTAAATACTTCTGTGATGGTGGCTCTTGAGCCGTGATCATGATGTCCCTGAATACAGAGCTGGGGAGAAACATGTGCCCAGTGACCCCTGAGTACACCCTTAAGTGACCCTGCGTCTGTCTATCTCCTCTACCTCCTCCGTGGGCGCTCGGGCTGACACTGGGGTGTATTCATGTCGGAACCCTTAGCACCAGCCAGGCCCAGCACAGATTTTCAGCACATGTTTATGGACTGAAGAGTGGCTGGATGGACCGACGGACAGAGGCATGAGCAGAGGGATGGATGGGAGTGCAGGTGGGCAGACAGGCCTGAGTACTGAAATGAGGTTGGGCCTTGTGAATAAATACAGAAAACTCACCCCAGAGTTTGTACTGGGAGAGGTTTGGGTTACACACTTCCCGGGATGCGCTGGGAATTCACAAGCGCAGGCTCATGCAGACTAACAGGTCACGTCTCCCCCATTCACAGAAACATAGCCAAGGTGGTGAGCCAGGTGCGTGCATTCCAGGAGAACCCCTACACGTTCGCGCCCGACCCCAAGCTGCAGTCCTACCTCAAGCAAAGAATCGCACGCTTCAGCGGGGCCGACATTTCCATTTTAGCGGCAGACAACAGGGCCTCCTTCCACCAGATCACCAGCGAAAAGCACTCCCGGAAGATCCAGGACAAGTTACGGAGAATGAAGGCCACGTTTCAGTAACGGGGACGGCGGGTGTGGTGGGGATTCCAAAGCAAGGACAGACCTGGGTACAAAGGAGGCACCGCTTGCTGTCCCAGGCCCAGAAGGTCCCAGCAACGCGCACCTGCCGCTGTAGACTAGGGAGCCCGACAGCACGGCGCGGGACCCGGGGCTCAGCCTGGGCGGCGGGGTACATGCCCGGGGGGCACCGGGAGGGGAAGGCTCCAGGGCCTGGCTAAGCCGGAGAGGACAGGCTCCAGTGGAGGTCGGGGTGTTTCTGCTAGTGTAAAACTATATTTAAAAATTAAAACAGAAATAGAATAAGTAAACTCCCCAGGAGCCACATACCCATTTATACTTCTTAGAGATAAACCGCTCTCCCCCAGGTCCCCAGGGATCCCGCCCCCCAAAAACCCACACCCACCCACCCTGACTCAGAGCAGTGTTTTCATGAGTCTGGCTTATGTCTGCCCAGCAACCAAGGACCAAAATGACCTCTGACCCCTATGCCAACCACAGGTTCCAGGGGTTTCCAAAACCTTCCACTGGGACCCTGAGGCTTCCCAGTGGCCCAAGCCCCAACCTGGGTCCACACTCCCATGCCCAGACCTCCCCCATTCCACTCAGACCCCCCCAAACCTCCCCCCACACTCCTCAGACCTCTCCTCACACCCCAGACTTTCCCTCCACACTCCCCACCTCCCCGGACCCCTCCTTCCAGACCCCCCTCTAGGGGCCCAGCTCAGCTCACCCCCATTCCAGCCCACGTGGGGGTGCCCGAGTTTTGCAGCCCTTGCCCCAGCAGGCCTGATGGGGTCTGTCCCGGCCCAGCCTCCTGCTGCTGGTGAGCACCTCACAGCTCCACGCTGCAGCCCCCAGTGCCCGTGGCCCCGTGTGCCCTCTGCCGTTGCCAACCCCCACCACTTAGAACAGCTCCCGGTGAGGCCTGCAAGGCTCTGCTTCCCGGCAAAGCACACAGGTCACAAACAGCAGCTCCAGAGCAGACTCAAGGCCTCGGGGCCCTGAGAGCATCCCCCAGTCCCACCTGGTGGCCTGGGGGCCTCAGGCCTGGGGCCCGCGCCCCTCTGCCTCAGCAGCCATGCATGCGCTGTGCACACCTACGCCCCGGCTCCCGCCGCTTTCCTTCACTAGTGCTTTGTCCGAGCCGTGGAGGAGATGACGTGTGCTGCCTGGATGGTTCCAAGCGCTTCCCCGGGGCTCTGTGTCCAAACAGCCGGTGTTGGGCGTTTGCTCAGCAGGTGCAAGACGCCCCCAGCCAGATGTACTGGGACCAGGAAGGTGTGGTCGCACCCCTCACGACAGGGAGCTCAGACCCCTGGCACCATCCTGGGCACCAACGTTCTCACGTTGCAAATTGCTGGGAGACCGGAGGTGGTTCTCTTGTTTCAGAATCAGTGATTCTTTAGAACAACCAGCTAGTGGTATTTCTGGGAAAACTGTCACTTGTGATAAAATGCTGAGTCTGTAATGTCAAGAAGGTTTCCCACATAAACTCATCCAAGACACTAGAACAGAAGAGGGACTCAGTGCTTCCCGCCATGCAGATGCGGGGGCTGGCTTTTGAATGAGGATTATGTTCTACTAAACACCTACAATCTCCGATTCTGAGTTTAACAAAGGTAGCGTCACAGAGCCTGAAACGGAGTTAGCGTCTGGCACAAATGCACATTCCAGCCATAACGATTGGTTCACGGGAAAGTGACCGGGCTTTCAGCTTAAGCACGACTGTCGGCATGTCGCTCGAATGTCACCGGCACAGATTTCTAAATAAAATTATTTCTACCACGACGGCTTCCATAGGCCTTGTTTTGTTTGTCTCCAAAGTGACACTTGCTTTGGGGGTCAGGGTGGGCTCCCTCGTGGCCAGAGACAGCTGCAGGGGTGCTCCTGAGGGCACAAGGGGACAAGAAGTCCTAGCCACAGCCGTGTCCTTGGGCGGCACGGACAAGGGCCAGATCTGCCGATTCGCTTAATTCAGGGCCCACCAGAACCGAACCCCGGAACCCCCGGGCCTGGGAGCAAGCAGACTCCTTCTACTGCTGCAGGAAACGTTTACCTGCAAACCACCTCAAACTGCTGAGCCGCCAAGGCCCCACCGCAGCACAGCCCCAAAGCTACTCTGCCACGAACTCTGCCCAGCCTCAGCCAGGTCCCACGTGGCAGGCCCCACACCACAGCAGGCCACCAACCTCACCCAGAGACTCAGGGCAGGACAGCTAGCCCCTCCTTCCCCAGGGCAAGGCAGGGGTGTTCCTTGAGGCTGCCACTGTGAAGGGTCCTGACAGAAGAGCTTAGGATTGGCGGGCACTGCAAAAGGAGAGGTGGAAGGCCAGGGGTTCAAATAATTTGGGGACATAAATGGTTGATGTTTTCTGTGGCAGAATCATCTGGGAACATCCCTGTAATGAATGATGAAGCCCTCTGCGTGGCAGGAGAGTCCCAGAAGAGGAAAGTCACTGGACAGTAGCAGCCACCGTTAGGTGGTTCTGGTGTCCCCGTTGTGGGTGGGTGGGTGATTTCCGTCCTCACCCACCTTAAAATCACTAAACTCTGCTGTCTCTTCCTTCTGAGAAAGGCCGTAAGACCAGGGTCTCCCTCCACTTCACTGGTCTAATCAAATCAATGGGTTTTTCTTTAGGTGAATTGACAGCCCCTTAGGCCCCACAACGAGCCCTGCTTCCCAGGTTCCCCACCCACCCACCCTGTGCAGTCCCTTCCTGCGCCAGATGGAGGCTGGCTCAGTGTACTGAGGCTCTGGGGGAAGCCCTCACCATGTGCGATGTTTGACTACCCCCAAGAGCACCATGCTGGCGCAAGCCCAAGGTAGCCCTAGTGGGCTGAATAGAGATGGAGAGAGAGATGTCTGGCCAGCCAGCCCACGAGCCGCCTTCTGGAGAAGGCCTGCAGAGCCCCGGGCAGTCAGGCCCTGGCCTGGGAAGTGGTGCCCAGTCAGGAGGGAGCGCCCATCAGCCCACCTGCATCCTGGTGCCAGGTCCGACCACAGAATCAGCAGCATAACCAAACAGCATCAGCCCTGGCCACTGCTCAGAGTGCTGGGCTATGCTGTGCTGAACAACTCACTGATCCGTTCGTTGTGTGCTGTGGGGGGGGATGCGCTCCCTGCTCTGAGAAGGGCTTCCGGCCTGTGAAAGGGGACCCCGTCAGCTGGCCCCCGACCACGATGGCTCTTCAGACAGGGGCAGTTTGGGGTCGCTTCCTATGGCCACTATTACTATTTGAAGCCTGCTCTACATGTTGGGGGGGGGTCTCGGGGGCACGCTGCGGGAGGGGCTGCCCTGTCTCTTCACCCACCTCCCACCCCTTTAGGGGGCTGACCTACGTCACCATGGGAAACAGTGGTTTGAAGGGAAAGGGCGAGGCCCAAGACCACATAAGGACTGCCCTCCAGTCAGGGGACAGACTTCTCACCAGAGTCCAGATGAGCAATCCTAAAGCTACTTTCCTTACACACGAGGGCTCATCAATAAGTACGTCGTAGATAAGGTTGCTGGCCTCCTGCTGTCAGAGAATGAAGCTGCAGAAAAGCTGGTGAGGAGGCTAGGTGTGTGTGGACATGTGGGTCGGTACACACATGCACTTCCTAGCACACCCTCCACAGGGCCGCACAGGGCTTAGCTCTCGTTGGACCATCTCTGCGGGCGGCCCTGGGCACTGCAGGGGGTGCTCCCAGCACCTCTGGTCTCTACCCCCCCGATGCCAGCAGCACCCCCAAGTTGTGACAACCAATGTCTCCAGACATCACCCAATGTACCCTGGGGGGCAAACTATTCCCCTGAGAACCAGTGGCCTGGAAACAGTGACACCCCAGTAGCATCAGGCACACCCCGTATCCAGATCTTGGGTTGCAGATACCATTCTCCAAAAAAAAGGAACCAGAGATTTTTGGAGAAATGGCAGAAGGGTTGATTCTCTAGTGGAGAAAGTACAAAGCAGAAGTATCTGGTAGCATCACAAAGCAAAGACCTGTGGCGGTGGGGGGGGGGAGGGGCATGTCAAAAGGACACAGGACAAGAGGGAAAGGGGAAAAGAGCTGTGGCGATCTGAGCCCCTAAACACGACAGCGTGGGACTGCACCCTGGGAATAGAACACCCACGAGTCCACTGAACAGGAAGAATTACAGGAGAATCCCAAACAACACATGTAGGTGCCCCCCCGAGGTGTGAGGTGCACCCAGTGACTGGCCCCAGCTGCAGGGCAGGGAGGGGAAGTGGAGAGATGGCGGGCACTGCTTGAACTCCTAGATCTTCTTCCCAAAAACCCATAACCAGGCTAATCATGAGAAGGCACCTGACAAACCCAAATAGAGGGACACCCACAAAACACCCAACAGTCTCCTCAAAGTGTCCAGAACAAGAGTGAGAAACTGCCAGGGTCCAGAGGGGACAAAGGAGGCAGGACAACCAAACGCAGAGCAGTATCCTGGACCGGGTCCCAGGGCAGAAAAGACACATCCGTGTGAAAGCTGGGGAAACCTGGAAAAACCCTATTACGCTCTGTGGCTCAGCCAGTGGTGCCGTGCCAACGGGAATTTCTCAGCTTTGACAAAGGTGCCATGGTCCCATGAGACGCTCACCTGAAGGGACGCACGGGGACACCAGCACCTTCTCTGCCACCTGGCTGTAAATCGAAAATTGTCCCAAACTAAGAAGTTGTAAAAACTACTAGACCTAGTATACAGAAATACAATTGATTTTTGTTTATTCCTGTATTCAGTGACCTCGCTAAATTTATTTATTAATTCTAAAGTGCTTGCAGACTATTTTGTATTTCCCAATCATATCACCTGCAAATAATGATGCTTTTACTTCTTCCTTTCCCATCTTTATAAACCTTACTCCTTTTTCTTGTCTTATTGCTCTGGCTAGACTTCTAGAACAACGTTCGATAGAATCAGTGATGCTGGGCACCACCCTAATTCCTAATCGCAGGGGGTAATGCTCAATATTCTATTAGTCATGAGGTAAGCTGTAGGTACTCCTTATCAGAATAAAGCAGTGTTTTCTGTGAAGTGTGTGTGTGAATTATGACACTAATTCTGAATACCGGCCATAACTCAGCATGTCCTACCCTCAGCGGGCTGCACGCAGCGGCGACCACACCTCCCGCGCACACACCAGTACCACCGCGGGCGGGGCCCGCACACCACCGCCTCTGCGAACCACAGGCCAGGAAGCACCTAAGGCAAAAGGGAGGGGCGCGGGGGGCCCCTCCTGGAGCTGGAATGTTCCATGGCTCGGTCTGCGCGGCGGTGAAAGGGCACGGCACATGCGTAAAAACGAATCGACCCTTGCGCGCCTGAGGCAAGCTGCCGGATCCGTTTGTACCTCAGTGCAAAGACTTTTAAAAAGTACAACAGTCTCGTTCAGCGGGTTGTTCCCGGTAAGGGCCCGGGCCGGCCCAAGTTGAAGTT